CAAGGTGCGTTTCTATCAGTCTTCCTACCATTATGACCAAGTTGCGAAAACAAGGTCTAACAACTTCTATGAAAAGGTATAATTGAATATATGAAGACCAAGATGTTGTGGCCTCTGGTATGGTCGCAGTCTCCTTTCGATTTATAGACGTGGGTTGACCTCGTTGTCGCAACTTGGTCTTGTTGTCAGGGCGACTATGTAGAACGCACCTCGTCCGAAGTCGTCTGCTATAGTAGTTGTCATGATTCCCAGCATCAGACAGTGGACTTGGTACATTCTTAAGTGAGTTTTGCCATTCTCCGCCCATCGAAATAGATGGGCTGGTGTGAATAGCAAGTGTGATGAGGCCACACTCGGTTTGCCACAAAAGGGCACACATTTTGACGAGTGGAGTGTAAACAAGTGAGAAGTTGTGATGTGGCGGCAGTGGGATAGGAGGGTAAAGAGTAGATAGATAGACCAGGACAGAAAGAGGAGTGATAGTGTCACCGTTTCCGACAGAACGGTTGTCGAGGCATTGACTTCACTTGTCTCTTTGACGAGTTCGTAGCTTCGTGCGGAGAATGGCAAAACTCACTGACGATGCCGGCGAAACGTTTGAGAATGTATCAAGTCCACTGTCATGACAAATATTAGGGCGGACGACTTCAGACTAGGTGCATTCTACACAGTCGCCCTGACAACAAGACCAAGTTGCGACAACGAGGTCGACCCACTACTATAACTTTGCTTGGTCGACAATTTCACCAATGAATGTGATATGGTAAAATGTCTGGCTTCCTTAAAATTCACATCTGCCCTGTGACCCTAACGTAGTAGTTACCATGTCGAGATTACACGTTGCCTTGTCATGGTCCTAGCCCGCTGGGCGTGTTGATAAGATCTAGGCGACGTCGAGACTGCAGTCCATTCTGGATATGAATACCTTTTGGGAATCAAGCACATGCTAAATTCCATCGGAGTGTAAGGTATACTCATGTGATTATGGGAAAAGTCAACTGCCGGTCCTTCATCTTGTTAAACGAAATATGGCGGCTACTTCTTTAGATTGTTACAAAAAAGATGTCCAGACATGTCAGCAGGCTTCCCTCGAAGCTAAGCCGGTGCATCTCGGAGGGTGGGTCAGCTCAAGTGTTCTGGCGCGGCAGAACCACAAGGACCAAAGAGAATGAGCTGCAATGTTCTGGTAAGTTTACTCGAGTGAAGCCCTCACCTCACTTTGTAAAATGGAACGAAAGTCAGCCCAACAATGATCCCGCAGAGCCGATCTCCTTCAAAACATTGTGTCCAGCTACAGGCACGCTAGTCTGCCCAGAATATGCTATGGAAACGTGAACTTCGGTATGGTGTATCATACGAAAAGTAAGCGGGCTTCGATGAATAGCCTGAGATACCGTTTTTGGGGAGATTTTCATTCCATATAAAAGCGCACGAAGAAGAAACTCGAAGGTCGATCTGCAGCCGTTTGGCCTTAATACGTTGTCGCCGCCTTAGTTTCCGATGAAAACGGGCTGGGCTTCTCTGTCCATCATGTGACGGACATCATCGCTAACTTGGGACTTTGCGAGAGTTAGTTTCAGCTCTGGTGATGTCAGTTTTGCCTCGAAACAACGGAGAATGTCTCGTGGACTGCGTCAACCTGAACGTGGTATTAACGCCAAACGACTGCAGACCGAGGATCATCCGTGGCCTTCTGGTGAGATCGACCTTCGAATCTCCTCTTCAGGCACTTTGATACGAAAAAAAAAGTCTCACCACCAATGTTACCGCAAAAGATTCATTGAAACCCAGTTACTTTTCTTATCTACAAAATGAAACGAAGCAACTGTAATTGTTCCAAGATCTTTGTCGCTGTTGGTGTGATGATACAGCGACTGACAATCGTTGTACGCACAGGCAAGTGAAGAGTGGGCCAAGGTTCACTGCGTCCTGCATCCGAAAAAGCGTTAGCAAGAACAAGCTTTTGATGAATTGTGGAAACGAAATCCGGATTCAGTAAAGGATCTGGTGAGTCAGGAATTTCAATTAATTAATTAATTAATTAATTAATTGCAATTGACTCTCCGATCTTCCATTTAGCTGTCAAGACCCATATCCGGCAGCACGTCGGGATTCATACGACTCGATCTGGTGTCCTGTAGCGACCACAAGTCTAGCCACTTGCGATTTGTGAATCCATAAACCTTTGCCGACAAGTCTCTCCCACACAAACACTACCACATGAGCACAAAACCTTATAGCAACCTGATCTGCAGAGTGCACCGGAAGATTCTCTAAAAGAAGACATGATCGAGGAAAGCGTTATTGTTTCTTTATGCATTGGCTTGACGCTGCATTTCCTCAACAAATCGCCTATTCTTCTTGAAAGCTTGCAGGATGATAGCATCTAATTCCTTGTTTTCTCTCAAATAATGGTTTTCCTCCACCCTATTTCTCAATATTTTGACATTGTTAACAATTGCTCCTACAGCATAATTGTTCTCAACTAACATTTTTCGTAACCTTTCTACTCCTGTTCTTGATGAGTTACGTCCGTTAGACGTAAACTCCTTACTATCATTGATTTTGTTACTTCTATTTTAACACCATGATTAAGGTTCGAGAAGAAATTAAAAAGGAAACTGGCACTTATTGTTTCCAGTTCATTTACATCTTTAATAGCCAGGACGTCTAAAAAGGTAACTTACTGTCCTTATTTCATCTATTCATCAACCGACGAAGTTTTCGAGACACTATTTTCTATGCCGCCAGATAGCAAAGTAATCATCCATACGTCCGACCAATAGTTTCGTAACTAGGAGTGACTCTTGAAAAAGCCGGACTTCCAACTGAGCCATGTAGTTGTTAGCTAGAACTGGAGGCAAACACGATCGCATAGCTAAACCTCTCGTTTGTTCGTACAAGTTACCATTATTAGGTTCGCCTCCTTGCTTATCATATTTTCTGATATAATCTCTGAGTGTGGATTTAAGGTTAATCCTTATGCCTGAATGGCGCCACTTACCGGTACCTTCGTGTACTTCGATACTACATCAAAACTTACAAGCAAATTTACTCATTTATTCACTCAATAAAGTCATAAGAATTCTTTATTAAAAATTCCCCAAAACCTGAGATTAACTTAAACTGACCACAAATTGTGATGTTTTATGCTTCACACCACCCTTATTATTTACAATGATCCTAAGTAGGACCCCCTCTTTATGGATTTTGGGCAGACCATATGCATTAGGAGGTCTTAGTTATAATTCCATACGTATCAAAATTAGCTAAAATCCACATCATCTTTTCTACATAATCTGCCCTAACGATAACTACAACTGCTCTCCCTTTGTCTGTCCTCAAAACTATTTGTACGTGTTGTCTTAACTTCCTACTGACAGCATTAACCCACCTACTCTTGTTTGGTGCTTCTTCATGGCTATCAATTAGAGGAACAACCTGTGCTTCAAGCTCACTCCCAGTTTCTTCTGCTGCTCGGTCGGTAAAGTTAATAAACTCCGTTAAAATCCTTTCAGTGAAACTCTTAATATTTGGCAACTAATGAATTTCCTCAGTAGTACTGTCCAATGATATTTTGGTCAGGTTGACCACTTACCGACCTATCTTCATTTTCTCTTCTGCTGTGGATGAATCCCGACTATTATTTGAAGGTCTTAATCTAATTTCTAAGTTCTTAAGTTTCTCATCGTGACGAAATACCACATCATATTCTGTATCAGACAACGATTGAAGCTTCAGAAAATCCTGCGAATTAAGAGTTTTGGACAAAGATTGCCATTGTCTGGTTTTTGTTCTGATCAAATTATGCATTGTTAGGGGGACCTTCATTTCGAATGAAAGTACATGGCGAAGAGATTCGTTTGTCGTTCTCACCAGATGAGGACGGATGAAACTCGTTGTACTGCAGGCGTTTAGCTT